ATTTGTCAAGAATTATACAACTAGAACTAGTGGGGAGGATAAGGTATCCTTTGAAAGAAGACAAGGAGAAAACTGAGAACTGAAAAAGCTCAAGATTGTGACAGAGCTGAAGAATCTCTCTACTTATTGTAATTTGAATGCTAAAAATCAGCTACAAAAGAAAAAGATCAAAGAAAAAAGGCTTTGGGACTTGAAACTTATAAATCACTTTCCCTTTCCAAAGCAAAGAGAAAGTCACTTGTTTTCATGCTCTTCGAGCATGATTTCTCTTGAAATCTTCATTTAGGTAGAAATCCGTCCAATAGGATCGTTTTCCTATTTTGGAGCCTATTCATCTTTCTTCCTTTATGATCGGAGAGTTTGGAATCTAAATTCAACTGTTGTTTTTTTTTTTTTTTGCAAGTACCATTTTGATTTCATAATTTCCTCTTCCAATGAGGCACCATTTTTATGAGATTTTTATATGGAAATCTAAGCCATCTTTAGAAATGAATCTTTTGCTTGGAAGTGGTACTCAACAGAATAGGTGCTGATGACGTGCTGCAAATTCTAAGACCAGACTGCGCACTTCTCCCTAACCCATTCTTTTAAAAAAACTAACATGTTCCAAAACAACAACGCAATTCTTACATTGTAGCATGGCTACTTTGTTTTGTAATAAATTGTTTGGAATCTTTGGTCAGACTTGGGTTTGTCCAGAATGTTTGGATCTTTTTTTTTTATTTGGTAAAATTGTTTGGGAAGAAATAAAGATGGTATTTTTATGTGCAGTTTTCTTTATGTGGTTTGGTGTGTCCTTTTGGAAAGGAGTCATAGAAGTTTAAATGGTGCCAGGGAAAGTGTTGGATCTTTCATTTCCTTTTACTGTTCCATTCCTTTTACTGTTCTATTCATGGTTGTCTTAAGGGAGTCTCTTTGAGTCATGAATAAGAATGGGGGCATTTTTACTTTCTAGAGTTCATGTCCCTACCACTCCTCTTAGAGCTTCTTTTTCTTTTGGGAGGCTTGTTTATGCTCATCTCTTGTAATATTATCTAATAGAGCTTCCTTTTTATTAAGAGAAAAGAGGATTCTGCCTTTTCCTTTTATTTTGGAGGTGTTGGGATCTGCACCTTGTGTTTATATTACTTATATTAAGGGGATACTATGTTTTAAGAGAAATTGAATGTTCAATTCTGCATATTAAGAACATATATCACAAATAAAATCTTTTGAATGAATGTGGTGAACAGGTAGAGAGAGGGGCTGCTGTTTACTTAAGTGGTCTGAGGGAGAAGTATTTTGGAGAAGTTTTCTTAAATGCCTCCATGTGCTTTGAAGATCTACTGTCAGCTGGAAACTCAAATCGTGTCTCACAAAAGGCACAATTCAGGTCTTATGGCCAATTAAAAACCAATGATTCCATGCTACATTATATAAGAAACTCTTGGGGTTCTGAGAATTCATTTGCAAACAAAGTCCATTTGCAAAAGGCCATCCATGAAGATGGTCTGAACCATATTGCAAGATATGTGGAATCTTTTGAATCTCAATCTAATGAATTCTGGCTTGTATTCCATTACGAAGGCATATCTTTGTCCAAACTTATGTATACTGTGGAAGAAGCTTATGATACTGCTGACAGTGAAAGATCTGAGCAAGTGAAACATGTTCAGATATTGCGTCCATCAAAGTGGTGGCATTGGTTGAAGACAACGGAAGAAGGGCAACAGGAAATGCGCAACATTATTTGGCAGCTGGTATATTTTCAATATAGGTCCCATGCGTGCATTGTCCCATTATCCTTATAATAAGTCAGTTTTTGAAATATTAAAGGAGAAAAATGCCAAATAATGCAGATATGCAGATATGCTGCCCCATTTTTCTTAAAAGAGAAAAATCAAGGCCTTATATTTACACATCAAAATAAGGTGTTTACGCTTGTATATTTGATCAGAAGTCAGTTGCACCATATCTTATCACCATTCTTGTGTTCTGAGACATCCATGTTTCTTTATCTCCTCTTCTGCGGTGTTTTATGAAACCCTGCATCATATGTTGTTATGTGAATGGGTTTTGGCAATATTAAGAACAACGTTAAGACCTAATCAGGGTTTAGGACTGGTTATTTTAAAAAGTAAAGAAGAGGAGAAAATGAATGGCTCGTCTTTTCTTTTAAAATAGCCAGTCCTAATCCCTGATTACATTACAACCATTCTTTTTTCTAGCATGTTATCTTGGAATTTCTTATTTGAATTTCTACCAATTATAACTTTTTGATTGTGTGTGCATTGTTTGAGGGGAAAAAATATTACAAGGACTTCAAAAATGTTGAAAATTTTATATGCTCCTGGATATGGATTATGGCATCTTTCAAATTTTACTCTTTTTTACCTTGTACTGTTCTTTACATTCTTGACAAGTTGTCTTTTTTATTTGCTTAGTTAATGGCACTGAAGTCCTGTCATGATCGGAATATCACACACAGAGATATCAAACCTGGTAAGGACCTTGGGCAATTTGTTCACTGAATGTGATGTATATGTTTGTCAATTTTGAGATGAATAGAGACTTGTACCTGGAGATACTTATCTTGGTTTGTTACTTTCGAGTCTTTCATTTTCCAAACGATCAATGTAAATCAAAGCCAGTATTTCCATTTGCCTAGTTTTCACCCTTTTAGATAGATATTGACATTTTACTGTAGAATAAGTCCATTGTTTGAAGCCATTGTGTCTCCTTTTTGGGCTCTTATATTTATTCCAATAAAATGTAGCTCAAATCTAAATTCGATTATATTTGTTTGGTTTTACTGTCTTTTTTCTGGAGAAGGATGTCTGGTTGTTAGAGGCTATACTTATGTTGGCGGCCCTTTATCCATACTCCATGGTCCTTTAAAAGCCTGAAAGTCATGATCCTCTTGCATGGTTGCTTATATCTTAAATTTTGTTTTTCTAAACGATGTGGTGTTCAAATGGAAGAATTTGTTTTGGAAATATTGACTGACTCCTGGTATATATTTTGGAAGAGAATATGGTGATATGCTTTGAAGATCAGGAGACCGGAAGATGCTTAAAGGAGGTTCCAATGATTAGTAGGACGATTTCTGCCAAAATGTACAGTGTATTATCTTTCTTTCATTATAGGCCCTTGCTTTTTATTTTTGGTTGTTCTCTTATGATGTTGAACATTTTAAACTTCTGCATTATGCATAAGATTTGGAATGTAGGTATTTTGGCAACCACTCCTGAACTCTGTTATTATATTCCTTTTCTCTGGATTGCAAGATTTGAATAGTATATCTTAGCATTGGTTAGATCTCTTTTCACTTTTTGAGTAAATATTTTGCTTATGTAAATTCTCTGCCGCTTTGATATAATTTGTTGTTCTTCTGTTCTATAAGTTATGCTATTTGGTGACTGACATTTCAGCAATAATGAAAGTGGTTGAAGCTATTTGAATAGATTTGATGTTTTCAGATAACAGTATTACATGTGACAATGAGTCACTATTCTTGCCGGCCTGCCAATTTTTTTGTTGGGATGGATCTACTATTATTTGGTAGGGATAAGTGCTTGTTATTCAAAATGATTCTCTGCCCAATATTTTATATGGAAATACAAAATTTGCTTAGTTCTTAAGGTGTTCAGATTTTCTTAGCAGAAGAACTTTACATGCAGCCTAGTGATATGACTCATAAATCCTTTGAGATTTGCTTCTTTAGCATTTGTTATTATGATCTATAATAGGTTCAGGTACCAAGGCATGATGTCTGGCTGTCTACATCCTGAAACCAATATTTTTACATCTCTCTCTCTCTCTCTGAACTTTTAGTCCCAGGTCTGGTTATGGATGGTTGGAGTTTTTGTTCTTTGCAGTAATAGGACAGGGTTATCATGCATTTTTAAATTTTGATTTGGCTATCCAAGTATATTTATCTATGCTGTTTTACAGATCTTATGTGTTTTTGCTGTGAGCCTTTTAGGTTGCGTGTTATTTTTCTCCAATGCCTAATAAAATTCTGATGCTTTCTTCTAATTCTTTCAGGCGTATTATTGACTTTGGCAGTGGACTTGATGAATTTACATTGAAACACTTATATGGATCTACTGGGCCATCTCGGTAATCTTATCTTGCTATAATATTAAATTTTGACTGATCGTATGATAAAAATAAATTTATTGTTTCTTCAGAGCTGAGCAAACTTATGAGTATATCCCTCCTGAAGCTTTGCTAAATGCTACTTGGTATCAAGGACCAACAAGCTCAACTTTGAAGTATGTAATATTTTGTGAGACTGAATTCAACATCTTGCGTTTGAATTTTTGTTTTTTTGTTTTTTGTTTTTGTAAGAATGAAATCAAAAGTGCATCTTTGTTCTTTAGTTACTTCTGGCTTAAAATGGATAGTGTGCTGCATTATTTGTTATATTACTCGCAAGTTTGCAGCTTAATCTTTTTACATCAACAGATATGACATGTGGAGTGTCGGTGTTGTGATGTTGGAGTTGGTTTTGGGAACGCCAAATGTTTTCCAGATAAGTTCTTTAACACGTACTCTTTTGGACCGACATCTTGAGGGCTGGAATGAAGGCGTGAAGGAGCTGGCATACAAGTAAGTGCACTCTGCTTAGTTTTCTATCTTTCATTTATCAGGTTAGGATGGGATTTTTTTTTTTTGGGAGAAAATCGGTAAGAACATCTGGGATTGCAACTTGCAATCGCCATTCACTGTCTAAAATTGCATTTCAGTTCGTCTGATATAAATAATATATGCAACTTCAGATTTTAGCAATTAAAAAGCTTGTTTAGTCTCCTTGAATATATAGACAGGCAACTGTTTGTTCGAAACTTGCTTTTGGGGAGAGCATGTGTCGATAGATGCAATTATAGATGGTGGTTTAGTCTTATGCCCTGTTTGGTACGGGGAGAAGTTTTTGGTGGCAGTGAAAAATAATAGAAGTAAAAGTGGAAGGAGAAGTGAGATTTAAAACTATGTTTAGTTTGCAGATGAAAGTGGGATAAAAATTTTATTTAATAAATATATTTATATTTTGAAAAGACCAAAATACCTACGAAATAAAAAAAAAAATGAACTGCCAACAAGTATTGCCACCTCCGTCCACCAGTTCTCAGAATTACCGTCCACCAGCCTTGAAGTGACCACCACTGTTGCCGGAAATTTTCCAGAAATTAAATCCAAACAAGATATCAAAGAAAGACCAAGCAAATCAAAGAAGCAAAGAAGCAGATTGAATAAAGCGAAGAAGCACATTGTCCAGAAATTGAAGACCAAGCACAGTGAAGAAGCAAATTGTCCAGAAATTGTTGCTGGCTCTCCGTCATCATCATGGTCATAGGAGATCAGAGAAGGATGGAGATCCAAGAAGCAGATTTAAGAGGCAGATCGAAGATGCTCTACTTCGTCTTGGAAAAAACTGATTTAAGCACCTTTGTCACTGGGCACCTAGAAGATCATGATTGTGATTTGTGAGGCGTTGTTGTTAGTCAAGGACCATCGCAACCTCCTCCATGTTGCTGTCGATGAACATTGCCATCAAGATGATAAAGATGGCAAAATGAGGAAGTCAATTCAATTCATCTATTTAAGGAACCAATTCCATCAGATTCGATGGAGCTCACTACTGCAGAGAACCTTTTTCATGTAAACCAGAACAAGATGATGGGTTCTACTTCTTCCATTTCTCTCCCTCCAATTCCCTGCTACCAGACAGGGCATTAGTATGATTGCCTGTGGATTTGTGAGATTGATTTTGTCCATTAAGGAATTAAACTTCCTTTGATTCTCTAATTCCGTTGAATCCCTGGACTAATAATTTTAGCTGTTTTATATTTGTCCTGACAGACTTAGATCGTTCATGGAACTGTGCATATTAATCCCTGGGATTTCTGGCAGTTCCTTTAAACAGTATCGCACAGGGAACCAAGTAAGTCTACCACCTGACATTTTTCTTTATATTGTATATGGCACCTAATGAAACTTTCATATTTTTGAATTAGGTTGGAGTCCCACCCGCATCATGGAAATGCTCTGAGGATTTCTTTTCGCATCAAATTAAAAGTCGGGATCCTCTTAAGCTAGGGTTTGTCTGCAGACTTCTGATGCTTTCATGCTTTTCATTTATGGTCTGTTAACTAATCTCGCAGTCTTTCTGTTGTGTGATAATATTTTTCCTATTCTTGCAGGTTTCCAAATATCTGGGCTTTACGGTTAGTGCGTCATCTATTGCGCTGGGACCCTGTAAGTTTCCTGATGAAAGTCTATTGTCTCGTCAGTTTTGTGATCTGGGTTACTTCCTAATTTTTGAACACTGTTTAATTGAAAGACTCCATAAACTTTTACAACGTTAAGAATCTAGGAGCTATTGTTAAATAATTGTAGGAAGATCGACCGAGTGTTGATGAGGCATTGCAGCACCCCTATTTTCAACCTCCCCCAAGTGGATGAGGGAGGCTATGAGAAGCCACGATCGAATTACTCGCTTCCGGGTGCGTGTTTTCCATCCACTATCTTGCTGATCTTTGAAATCCTAACGGTAAGGCACGACAGGAAGTCTTTTTTTAATTAGAGCATGTGATTAAATACTCTGGAGCTTTTAGGGCAGGCATCGCTATATCCAGGCCCCGATCCAAGCAGATGATGGAGCGGGTGATTTTTTTTTTTTTTTTTTTGGGGTGGGGATGGGTTCGGTACGTTCTTGTTGTACCAGCATCTAAACTCACCTGACAGGTGCCAAAAATCATTTCTTTCTGGCACCTAATAGTCTTGTACATTAGATGTTTATCCAAAAAAAAAAAAGAAGTCTTGAACATATAGAAGAAAATTCATGATCGTGCCATTATATATTGTATTATTATGGTGGATAGGCATTGACATTTTTGTATTCTTGCCCAGTACTGCACATATTTTTTTGCCTGTACGACCTGAAGATGAGGCCTGGTCTGGTTCACTCTAAAATGAGTTCATAGGATGTGTATCAATCTTGACTTATTTTTAGTTCAAAAAAACGCATAATATGAAATAATCATTTTTAACTGCAAATTCAAAATTAAAATTTTGAAAACAAAAATAAATTGTTTAAATACTGTGCTCTCCACTGTTCCATCTCTTACAATTTTTCTTTCGCCTTGCAAAGCAACCGTTTAAAAGGAAACGAATAGTCCCATATGCCGCTGCTCATTTAAGATGTGATCCAGCAAACTATTGGACAGGCAGTAACATGTGACATCCCCTTCACAATATGCCCTCAAAAAAAATCTTGGAAAGAAAACTACAAAAATTTTAGAGCGCCCGACCACCTTGAAGGGGGTGGGGGAAGAAAGGCAAGAATACACACCTTCATAACTAATGTTTGCATATGGCTGATGGCTGCTAAGTTGCGTCGATCACTCCACCGTCCGCTTTTCAAGGCATATGTGCTTAACCCACTCAGAAAATTCATGTTGGTTTAGTCATGGTTCATGGCTATTAACTCGACTGTGAAGTTCCAACATCTCTTGATGGTTCGGGTCCACTGAGAGCGCAGCCCGACAGTCTCGGAGGGCACCTAAAACATCCCCTTTGTGTTCATGGAATGCTGCACGCAGATGTAAGAGGTGCAAATCTGCTTTAAATGCAATTGCTCTGGACAGTTCCGCAATGGCTTCCTCTTCCTTGTGATTGTCCATCAATACTGCAAACACCAACAGCCGTGGATATAATTAAATTTTCCTTCTTAATTTAAATTCTCTAAAACCACTGCACTGACAGCAGTATAGCTTAGTAATGTTAAAATAAGGTAAAGATATTTACGGTATGTTTTGTTAATAAAACAAAATGATTTTAATTTGAAAAGAATAAGCCAGAGTAGTTTGATCTATTGCATAATATGCTTTAGGCTATGCAGATCATGAAGGGAAGGAGGTTTAGAAATAAGTAAATAACCTGCAGCTCGATATTTGTAAGGATATACTCTAAGTGGATCTAGTCGAGTCACCATCTCCAGGTCAGCCTTTGCGAGTTCCCGCGCACAGTACTCAGATCTCTTCTCATAGGCAGACGCATTGTTTTTTGCCTTCTCAATAAGGTCGGTCATTTCATTGTAGGCGGCAGCCTTGTCGTTTTTGAAAAAATAAACACGAGCAAGACCCTGGTGCGCTCGGGTGTGCCCGATTTTAAGGGCATTGTTGTAACAATCAGCTGCCGACTCTAAATTCCCGCAGTCAACAAATACACTACCAAGATTGTTCAGTGCCTGATAAATCAATACATGCATAAGTAGTACACCTAGAAACTAATTGTGCACAAAGTTGCATGATATACAGCTAGAAACCAATATCATGCCACGTTTTCCAGCATATATTTAATGCCAAAAAAAGTCATCGTGTTAAACTTCTCATTCCTGGATTCCGTCACTGTATATTGAGAATTACCTACAGCTCAAACATTAGACTTCTTAGTTCGCATGATCAAAACTTCTGAAGTTATCAAATGATCGCAACTGCCACAATACAAGGCAGAGAAACATTCCAATGGGATGCTCATGGTAAGTTGTTTTAAGGCAAGATGCTATCAAGGCTGACTGACTACAGCATCTACAGAAGCAGAATGAGTGGTGAATGGTGGAAAACGAGATTATAGGGATGGCAATACTATCATGGAAAGGTAAATAGCTATTGATAGAACACATCTGCCATCGCAGAGAGGGTTTTGAGGACATAAGAGAGGCAGTGGATTAGAGCATCAGTGCCGGAAGGGCTCTGATACCATCTTAGGGAAAATGGCAAGAATAAAGTAAAACTTCTTCATTGATTTACGTGCATGGATTTCTGTACACTGTTCGTGTGTGCGTGTAGAATATCTGAATACAAAGAAAATAAAGTTATGAATAAAACGACGGATCTAGAATGTGTTGTCACTGATGTGTCCTGCCAGCAATAACCCCCAACCCACCCCACCCCCTTCCCCCCCCCCCTATTGGTTCGTGTTGACATTCACCAAAAAAAAAAAAAAAAAAAAAACTAGAAGGAAAAGAGTTCAAAGTCAAATAGTGATACATTCAACTTATTAGAAGTTGGTGAACAACGACAACAATAACAGCAATGAATCATTAAAAATATCCAGCAACCAAGATGATCGGGACTTGAATGTGCTAAATCCCAGACAACCATGAGGATCAGCATTCCAATTTTATACGGCTACTGACAAATTTCAAAGAAGGATTAAAACAACACCACAAGATATTCTATTTACATTGTAAAAATATGTGTGCGCACATACGTGCGTGCGGGTGTGTGCACCTAAGTGTGCGGGTCTATTGGGGTCATTAGTTCCCTGTGAAAGCCAACAAGTTATTAAATATTGTATCATCATCTAACGATTCTAGATTAGCATTGTAGCAAGCCTAAACCCCACGGGGCTACCACACTTTTACTGTAAAGGCAGTGCGAGTTTGAATTTAGTCATCTTTTCGTGTGTTACCAATGCTTCAGAATTGGCGATCTGAACAACAGGAGAACCCCAACAAAGAATATATGAACCAGTTCATGCTTGTTCAAATAAAGCTCACTGACATCACACATGCACTTCTACGATTTTGTAGTGGAAATTTGCAAGAGAATATTCTGACTAGTTAAGGGCATATTTTATATTTTAAAAATGGTAAAAATAACAACATCAGATCCAGAGGCGGAGGTTAAAAGGAGTAGTTAAGTCCCTCCATGAAATATCACAAGAAAATATCGGACAGGTTTAATTCCCTTCATAAAATAGTTTAGAAGCGCTAACAAGTTGGTTAAAGTAATTAAGCACCCGAGACAACTTCATTTGGATATACAGTCTCACAACTGTGGTATACACCTCACATAGCTAACACGTGGGTAGGGAGTTTAAAGTATTTGCAAATAATCATATCAACCAAAATTTCAAAGTTCCAAAATTGAGAATACACTTGAGATGTCAGCAACTTTGTCATCATTCCCCTGTATGTATTTAGGAGCGAAAAAATTCCAAAATCAGCACAACAGGAGAACCATACCTGACCTTTGCGAAGATTATCTGATGGACACTTCAATGCATCTTCCAGAAGTGAAATAACAGTCGAAGAACATGATGAAGCAAGACTGGAGTCAGCCAATGCATAGGCCTTCAGGAAGAAAGCCTCAAAGGACCGTTTGATACCAATAGATTCTTCAGCTTTCTGGAGCCCTTCCTCATAGTGACCTGTATCATACAAGATCCACCCCTCATATACAAGTCGTTCATGCTCACTTGTTGCATGTTGGCGAGCTAATTGTAAACTCCGCATAGCTGCCCCAGGACAGTTTAGCCTAATGGGACAAAAAGGTCAGCTTTTGTTGTCCACAGCAAATAAATTTTCCAGTTAGTATTTTAAATAACCAGGATGAGACTGCCTATTCTAATACAATTCCGCAATGAACATTAAAAAAGAAATCAATGCATGTTGAGGGTTCCTTTCCTCATTTGCAGTTGAGTTGATTGACACTTGAGAGCCAACTAGCTAAGACAGGCACAGATACCATGACTCTTGAATAAACAAGAATTGTATACATAACCACTACATTGAAAGCAGAGAAAATTGATGTGCTTTTGGCCATTGCAATGAAGAGTTCAACAGTAAATCATGCATGCATAAAAACATAATTTGTTCCATCAAATCTCCTAACACGCTTGATAGTTCACTAGTAAATCAAGGTGGAATTTAAACCCTTTTAATGATTGATGAATGCAACAATGAATTACCAGACATTCATAAAATACCTAAGAAGAAGCAATGACTGTCTGAAATATAGGACGCCCTTTGCTGCATCAGATTCAAGCATCTGATAGATAACAGAGAGAGACCCAATATCATCAACTGCAGACCAACAATCATACAATCGTGCCCAACAATCTGCTGTAGTCCAATGTTCAACATGCTCACGTACAAGAGTGCGGAATTGGGATGCTGCTACTCGCCCCTCAAACATTCTATAATCAGGATGCAGAGTAAGAATTGCTTGAACGTCACAGAGGGCTGCTTTGTAGTCCTCAAGAGCTAGATTGAGAAAAAAACGCAGTTCCAAGCATTCCAATGAAAGTTTGAAACCAAGTATCCTATTGATTTCTTCTAGGGCAGCTTGAACATTTTGAGTCCTCATTAAATTAGCAGCCCTATACATGTAGGGATATATAAGCGTAGGGTCTAGATCAGTTGCTTTCTCAAGGTCCTCCCACCTATTGTTACCTTCACAATATAGTGATCTTTCCTGGTACATCCACCCAGCTGGGGTTACAGAGGAAATTACTGAGCTGAGCTTCTCATAAGATAGAAGCTTCTCACCCTTTGCAAAATCCAACCTAGCTAAACCTGTTACAGAGTAAATATGGCCTGCATTTACAGCAACCTCAAATAGGCAACGGGCTTCCTCATATTCTTTCCTTAAGAGTTTCACGCATCCCAATTGATGAAATGCCAGGAGTCTCTGCTTGTCTGTTTCAGCAAAATCCACCAAACGTTCCAGGAACTGAACTGCTATATCTGAACTAGGATCAAGGTTCATAGAAACTTCACTTAATAAGCAGTAAAGTGAAAATAAACTGTGCCCAACCATGACTGCCAGCTGCTGCTTATTAGCATCAGTAAATATCCCTACCACCCGATTGTCTTTCAAACAGTTCGGAAGATCACATAAAAGGACTTGCAAACAAGAAGCAGCAAGGACAGGAGAATTCTCATCAAGAGCATAATCCATGAGTTCCACGGCATCTTCTTTGGAGGAAATTAGAGATGCCAGTCTCCTATCACAAGCATCTTTGAGTCTTTCACAACAATACTTGTTAGCAAAAACTAGCATCTCCAGCAATAGGTTGGGAGGAACATCGTACAAACTGCCTGTCAGACTGAAGTAACTTATTGCCCTCATACCTGAAGGGGAGATATTGTTCTCAGACAAATCAATGGTCTCAGAAAGTGACTCGCTGAAAGATCCCTTTAGCATCGCGTGAAATGGTGCTGAAAGTTCAGACATTTTATGTCTGTCACAAATTATCTTATCATTTCCAATGGTAAAAATAATATATTGTGAAATGTGGTTCCCATTCACCGAAAATCTCTCCTGCAAACTTTCATCAACATCAAAAGGAATATGAGATGCCACATCTATTAGCCCAAACTCCTTTGCACATTTACCACAAGTTTTCAGCAAATCAGCAATCAACTCTTCCCCTTGTTTCTCATACTTTAACCAAGCCCCAAATATTATCTTCTCATGAACAGTGTTAGCTCTCTGCCAAGCTGCCCGGAGGCTTCTACACATCAATTTAACTTCCCCAAGGCCCCTAAAGACCTGATATTGCAATAAATATAGGTTTGACCGCTCTTGTGGGGTACATGACTCAAGTTCTTCATGAATTTGAGCAAGAACTTCCACATAATCAATAGGTTTAAAGAATGGCAATATAGATGGCTCTGGGACCTTGATTAGAGACTCGCTACAATAGTTGACATCAAACCCCACCACCCAAAACAAAAAAATAATAATTTAGTTTGGACCAAAAAAATAAATAAATAAAGGATAACACTGCGGAGAAGATAAACTTACATTGACGCAGAAGAGGACTGTGAAGACAGTTTGGGAAGTTTCCCTCTTTCTACTTGGAGCCATGACTGTGGATTTAGAACATTTGATTGCACTTCTCTACAGGAGTCAGTAGCGAAGAAAGTCCTCATGGGGCATAGGACACGAAACAAGTCCCAGATCTCCACAATAGCGCTAATCAACCTCTACAACTTGGAGTGAAAATAGAAGTAGAAGAACAACCAAAAAGACCAACCACCGCCTATTTGTCACACTCCACTATCAGCTAAATTATTTCCATCCCCAGAAAGCAGCTCCTTTTCCTTCTTTCCCCCTTCCGAACAAACAGAATAATCAAAGAAAAAGAACTCGAACTATGACAACGGTCTTTCGAACGAATGGATACATCTAAAAACAACTGTTGTTTTCGATGAACAGCAGCTAAATCAAGCTTCTATTTTCTATATTGTATCCTGAAAAAAATAAAAAATAAAAAAACACTCGCCCATTCAACCTAGTATGAGGAAAATTGATTAATAAAACACGCAACAAGCTACTGAAGAGCAAATAGATGGAAATAGCCAGGAAAGATCTTCACCAGAAAAATGACCACATTTTTGTGGCTAACTCGAACAAACACAGAAAACGCCAAAATGACAGAGACCACAGAGAGAGGGGGAATCCAGTTGACAAGAGGCTTGAATCTGCAGACGCAGTTAACAAATTAGGAGCGTAAGTTCATAGGCCATGGATCAAAGTGAGGCAATCAAATTGAAAATTTCCAACTTTAACTAGTCTTTTTCTCCTTTTGCTTGGTAAAAGGGAAAGTAATTTTCTTTTTCTCTGTTCTCGCTTTCCCAGCGTTGAAGACCATAAAAATTGCGGCTACTGTTTATTGGGAGTGCAAAAAAAATCAAAATGGACAAAAAAGAGAGCAAGCTACTAATAAAAAATAATAAAAGGACGAAACAGTTGAGTAGGGAAAAATGGTGAAGGCTGGCATCGCCGTCGTTTCAAAACGGGAGCGACAACTGCAGAAACCAGCGTGATCTGATTCATCTGAAAGCGGCTGATGGCGGTGCCAGTATCTATCTGTCAATTATTATCTTCCCGAATAGCCAGTGAGCCACTTTGAAATTATTGTCTTATTAACTTTATTGGTTAATGAAGGTTAACTGAATTAGACCCAATCAGGTCCCGATAAATTTTTTTTTTTTTTTTGGGGGGAGGGGGGGAGCCGTCAGAGCTCGTCAGAATGGACGGATTTTATTATTTATACAGCCATTATACATATCCACTTAAATTAATATATACCAACAAGTTCCTTAAATCACATCTTATTATCTTATAGGCCCACCAGCTCGTTAACCCTGCCCTGCTTCTCGCAAACGCGCATTTACTTCACCTTGTGAGCGTTCATCGTTGCTGAGAACAAAAGAAGTTCACATCAGCGTGGAAATTTATACGAGAAGACAAAAAGAATCATTGCAGGAAAGGGAAACAAGATTGCTTGAGGTAAAGGAGGTTAGCGTAACAGTCTTGCAAGGTTTGCTTAAGGTACTTGGCCACTTGGTTTCTTTAAAATCACTCTACCATGTATTATGGCCAATCTTATGACACTTGCGTCCAACCACTACTCTATCATTTTGACGCCTTCCAATTTTTCTCTTTCAACACTACACTTAAAAAAAAAACGTTTATTTATCTAATGTCTAGACAGATTTTTGAATGATCATTCCAGGATCCGGTATGTTTCAATTTTCAATATGTCCGCTTGGTGACCTTCGTCATGGCACCAGCAACAACTATTGTTTTTATTTTATTTATCCAGTGTATTCCTTTCGGTCTCCATTATAACAAGGCATCTTCTAATCGTTGATCATTAATATAAATAACAGAGAAAGTTATTAATTAACATTCTCTAATTTTACCCCTAACAGATTATTAAAAAATTTAATTATATTTTAATGTTTCTATGTGATTTCTCTAATGCCCCATTTGGTTCACTCGAACCATTTTGATGGAGGAGAAAAAAGAAGAGGAAAAAGAATTGGAAATATGTGTTAAATGCAAGATCGGTATGACGAAAATATGGATAAAAATATTTTTTAGTATATTAATTAAATTAGTTCTTTAAAAATAAAAATATAATATTACCCTCGCCATCATCCAAACCCTTCTTTTTGCTTCATCTCGCCCCTTCACAAAAGGACCCAACAATATGCAATAATTGGAACGGCATAATCTAACCAATCAAACCCAAAGCACCATAATTTTGACAAAGGAACCCAGTCGAAGCAACAGAACCGTGTATAAAAAAAACAAAAAAAAAAATAGAAGCAACGGAACCTTTGTGAAAATAAAATTGTTCCATTTTGTATCTAAATGAAGCAATAACTCGTGAACTAGGATTGTGCAAAAAGCCCAAAACATCTCACCCTACCTAATGGCTTTTAGCCCTGCCCATGCTCAAAAATGAATGAGTATGGTCGAGCTAAGCCCAAACCTCAAGTTGGACAAAGTTTAGGACTAAGGTATTCAACCAATCAACTCTAGTTAGTAAGTGAGACTTTGAAATGAAATTTGATACCCTAGCTTCAAGTCTTCAACTCTTCTCAATTATTAGTCCTCTCTCTCTCCTCTTTTCACCCTTCCTAACAGCATCCACTCGAACTCTCATCTTGCATAGTCACATCACAATATTACTCACTCGTCTACCTCAATATACCACCCATAACTCAACAACATTGTTCTTCTATCTATCTTGGCTTAATGACTTCATCTATCATGTGTGAGATTGGAGCTTCACCTGTTTCAACGACTGTGTATTGAAGTCTCAACTCCTCACCTCCTTCTCATTGTTCGTTGCTGTCATCGTTCGAGAAGGCATTGCATTGAATATGTCTACCTTTAATCTATTGCTCGCCTTCCATCACTGTTAAGGCTACTTCATCTCTTCTTGCGTTGAGATCATGTTGCTTTGATCTCTGGTCCATGGTTCTATGCTCTGATCTCTAATTCCCAAGCTTTGGATTCGATTGCTTTTACTACTCCTGATCTCTTACTCTTTGATGTTCAAGCAATTCGAAGATGCACAAAGACTAGGCATTGGCCTTGTGGTATAGATCATTTTGATGGTAACTGCATCTGGAAATCTTGTTGTGATATATATTTGGGTATGCCATTTTCATGTTTATTGATTTTTTTTTCCATTTTTAGTTATGTTGTTGCTAGAAAAGATTTTTAAGCCCATGATTTTGTTACTAGAAATTGTTTTTTAATGGCTAATTTGAGCCCAATTTTGATATATCTTGATCCAACAAGAAGTCTCCAACTACTTAAAAAAGGATAATAAATTGGACATCTAGTTTGACATGCCCAATCTCTACACAACTTTATCCATGCACAGCCCTATGGTGAGCAATACAATGGTGGAGGATGATTTGCAATGCTCAATGAAGGTGAATGACAATGAATTTAATCAAAGTTTTTGTCCACAAATCATATAAGTTTCAATAGGTTTACAGGATCATTCAAATCTAAAAATACAAATTATGAAGAAGATAACAATGGGGGTGCATAATGGAGAAGTATATGATTAAAGTTGCGGAAGCAATCCAAAGAAAATTTTCCAAATTTTTTATCCACATTATTATTTCTTCTTAATCATGATTTGCAAGCAAAAAGAGATGAAGCCTTCAACATGCCTCACCTTGGAGGCCATTGCCACAACTCACATATCCATGGCCATGTCTCTATCTCATAAACCCTTCTCCTCCAAACACTAGATAGGAGAGAAGTATTTTTCCTGATCCTATTTATAATTTACTTTTAACATGTTTTATTAGATTCAAGAAAAGCCTTAAACTTCATTGACTTTATCTTAAAATTTATTAAGTTGTCACCTTTATCCCTAACAAATGTTTTTAAATTTCATTATTGATATTTATATTTAAAGCATTCAATAAAAACAGAAATACAAAGAGGAGCATTGGAAATGAGTAAGTGTCCTATAAAAAAAATTAAAATTTTTCTTCTCTCTTTACCCCATAAATAAGACCAAAGGAGTATGGAGAATATAATAGAGTCAGATGAAAAACGAAAGGTGACAATGGAAATATGAACAGTTGGTGGCAGTGGGCGACAAATGGTAGAGGGAGGGAGCAATGGCAAAGTTCAAATCAGGAAGAAGAAGGCCAACGATGAGATAGAGGAGAGGAGCAAAGGTAAATCTGATTAATGGAAAGGTAGAAGAAGGTCAATCGACGTTGGCAGAGGCATGGGTAATTTTTGATCTACAATTTATTCGTAAGGATAAAATGGACAGAAAAAACTTGATTCTAAGGAAAATATAATTTTTCAAAGGGTTTGCCCCCCGAAATCTAATTTATGGTTTGTACCTTAAAAATGTCCTCCCAAGAATCAAAAAAGCCCTAATGTGTTTCCCTCCCATAATTCCTAGTAGGGGTAAAAGTTGGCATATTTTTTTAATTTAAGACGTATATAATAAATTAACTAGCATTTTTTAAATTTAGTAAGATAGTAACTTCACCAAAATTATGTAGCTTGACAAACAAATATATATTGTTTACCATCCCCCAACTCGCACATTTTATTTCGTCCCTGTTTTGTCTCCATTTTGTCGGCAATTAACTACATAAATGTTACAAAATTATGAAATGCGAATTGTCATTGTATAATTATCAATTTTTAGGCTGGCCAGTAGCCCTATCTATCGATTGTTTAATTAGGCATTTCTTGTCCTAAAATATACTTGCCCCAACAAAATGTGTAGACTGAATTTAGGCGTAAGATTTATTACCGTACCGAGATATATTAGCCTGTAATTTTCCTGTACTTCACCGCGCGCAATCTTCTCATTGCCTTTAGATTTGGAAGTGGAATAATTCCAATAAAGAACCCTTAATCATATTTAATTACATTCAAGGGCTCTAAATTTTTAAAATTTTACTATAATTTAAAGATACTGATTTGATATTAAATTTTTAAAGAAATAACAAAGTTGCCCCTTTTTTAAATTAATATTAGAACTTTGTTACTTTACTTGTTCATTTACTTGTATAATATTGTTAATTATCTTATTTAACTTATTTATTTTTTTTAAATTAAATCAAGTTAAAGTCTAGTAATGAAAAAGTAAAGTATAACAATTAACAGCAATATGTAAGTAAATGAATAATATACAATATATAAATTAATAAGTTATCTTAAGATAATTTAAATATCTAAAATAAAAATAAGTATAGCGGGGTAATTGATAATATTTGATAAGTAAATGAACATATAAAGTGAAGCAATTAATAAATAAAATAAGGAAGTTTTGATATTGATTTAAATGAAGGGTAATTTTATCATTTTTTAAAAATTTAATATCAAATTATGAATTGTAGTGAAATTTTAAAAATTTAAAAACTTTAAATGTAATTAATTATGATGAAGGGTCTTTTGTTAAAATTATCCCGATGGAGGTTGAGCAATGTCAACATATATTGTGCACGCCTCAATACTGGCAGATTGGAAAAAGATTAAAGATGAACGCTCACGTCTCGTTTAGGCAAAGCCACCAACACACAGCATGTGAGTAGCGGAGGGAATATTTGGCAACTTCATTTTCAATTCCAAGTGAACGTCATTTCACTCCTTTTGTCAATATCCTCTTCGAAAATGCCTCGAGTTCAAATTTATCTGAACGGATCAGCTTGTAGACGAATCATCTCAATCATCAGAAGCAGATAGAATGCAAAACACAATTATTAATGTAACTAAAGTGAAGACAAGTTTTTAATTATACAAGCAACAAAACTACCAACGATGGTTAGAAAAAATAAGAAGAATAAATAATTTTTGGATCTTGATTATTCTAGAAAGTATGATGAAGAAACAGCGTGCAATGAGTGAGGGCATAGACAATGCAGACTGGCCACCGGACGTACATTTCTCAGATGTCTCGTAAAGGAAGCATTGGTCATGTATACCCAAACACAGATTCAAACCATGGTAAATTCTCAGTACCCCAAGTACAAATTAATTAAGTTTCGGAGTGCTCTCAAGCCACTCCTCATCTTCTTCGTTTAAGCATGCCCCAAATACAAATTAAACTGGTTTTATCCCTAATTCATTTTGATTTTCTTTCTTCCGACTTAGAACGAGTTTTCCCCCCTTTCGCCATGCGGCCTGGAAAGTGGAAACATTGGGCGACGTACCTGGCCGATTCTGTTGACCTAATCTTCATTTTTCACGTTAATTACGAGGATTGAGGAGATGAAATCATGAATATTCTCTCCCCTTGGGTGCGATGGACCTGGACATAGATCAGAACCATATTCCATGTAACTCAAACGTCCAAAATTTGATCGTCTTCATCCAGACGCACGTTTTCCCTTTTTATTTTCACATCGATCGTTAAAGTACAGGAGAATGACAGTTAGGTTTTAAAATCTTAAATTAATAATAGTCATGCTTCTAACAATTTTTTTTAAAAAAAAGTTAAAAATACCAATCAAAATATAAATTCAAAAATTTAAATCCCATATAAATATTTAAATATTAAATATAATTCTTAAATTATAACATTGGTTTCTGTTTATAATTATTTAAACTGATATTTATAATTCATTTTTAAAATTTTTTTATCAAAAATCTAACTGTCATTAATTCAACATTTTAGAACTTAATCTTTTAACCCTTTATGCAGCGTATAGAACTTATTTGTTTTAGCTTATCTCATAAAAACTTACTTATTTTTTGAAAAAAAAATATTTTATGAGTTTTTATAATATTTGTTTAAACTTTTAAAAGTAATCAGAATATAAGAAAAATAAATTTTTGATTATTTAAAGAAGCTACTTTGAGTAACTTCTCAAATATAATTTAATACAATAAATAAAAAATGTTTTAAAAATACGGACATGCAAAGATGTCATAAAATTTTAAAATAATATATAATAAATTATTTTTATAAAAAAATTAAGGAAGATATCATAAAATTTAAACAACTAACTAATATTTATTTTATTATTATTATAACCAAACATAAAAAAATTATGTTTTTTATAAAATCTCTATAAAATTTTTTTTATAAAATCTTTAAATTATTTAAAAATTATTTATTTTTTAATCTTACCAATCCACCCAGTGAAGATCAACACAGGTCGCACAAAAAGATGGGGTCCCTGCAAAGTTACCATTTAGACCAAAACGTTGGTAACTGCATCATTGTTGTCGTTATTAATTTGTCATGATATAATGGACCATGTAGGGCCATCAGCATGGCAGAAAGTGCCGGACAAACTCCTTGAAAGTCCGAAAACATATTGCAACACTTGAAAAACTTAAAGCATAAGCATTAGCTTATTTGAAGGAAAAAATATGGACAACAAACTTACTCCAAAGAATTTTTTTTTTTTTAAAAAGGGACCTAAAAATGTGATCTCATCCTACCTGAATTATTGCATCATTGCAGTATATCCAGGTTCTCTTTTGTTGCGTGTATCTTTTTGTCCAACAAAGGCAGAGGACAACAGAAATCGAAGGTTTTGAATTACTCTAAAATCGACAGATGCTTCATAGCGTGTCATTCACAAAATACAGAAATAGTGCTGAAGTTATAACGTGGTACTTGAAGCTTCCTAATTGCAAAGTGCACCTGAAGTCTTGTGGAAAAAGACACCACCAAGCTAGGAGGCCCCGGATAGTAAAATTTTAAATATTTCATATTCAAAGCTTAGGAATTTAAACTTGGACACAAATTTGAAACGAGACGAGAGAATTTCAGGGTGCTTTTATATACTTAGCAGGATGGAGCGTGGCAGGAGCAAGACTAGGGTTGGCAACAATGGCGTCCAGATCGTGAGTGCGCAGATCCAAATGAGCCCTCAAGAAGGCGACGATTAAGCCACCGACCGTTCTTCTCATGCAGTCCTTAGCACCCGTCCCGTTCTTACACAAACAGCTCGCCACTTTCCCAATCACTCCCAGACTGTCATCTAACATGTCCATGTGACCATACTCCTTGGCTACAAAATAAGCACAGGGCGGATTGCTCTCGAAGAAGAAATTCTCATGATTCACGCCCTCAGGCGCACAGGGTTGCGAACAGCAATAATCGGCTTTTTCTGGGCCCAAACCAGTTCCGATTATAGCTACGGGCATGGTTAGCTTGAAAGACCCGGCCTGGCCCTTGAGGATCCAAGGATACGTTTTGCAATACTTATTAAGCCCACCTACGGGGTCTACGCCTACCAGCGCTGAAATGTTGAGCTTCGTCTTGGCATGCCCGAGCGCTACTGCAAATGCTGTATTCCCACCCTTACTATGCCCTGCCGTCACAAATTGATCCAGATTTGGTATTACGTTCTCAGGAAGCACTGACTGAAGCTTTTCGGCTACCCAGTCCGCCACATCTCCCGCACACTTAACCTCACAATATGACATCATGGGCATCCATTCGCAGTTAAGACAGAACTGGAGAGTGAAGTGATTTAATTACTATTAACCAGAAAAAATTAAAGATATCAGAGCCAGAAAAATATATATATATATATATATATATAATACATGTTGCGGAGTCATTAGTTAACCTGAGGAGCAACAACAACGTATCCATGAGAGGCTATGTGGTTGAAGAGATTAGAGTAGCCGCTGGTAGCAAGGCAGAAGCCATGGCAAAACAAGATTACTGGGTATTTGGCGGCCACGATTGGCGTGAAGATTAGTAATGGTTTTGGGGGCGAGGAAGTGCTCGAGGGATCAACGTGGAGTGGCTGGCATTCTATGTCTCCATGTTGAAAGACGTTGGTGGTGGCCAGAACTGGTTGAGCTTCCAGCAACGCCATTGTCCTCGATCTCGGGAGAAGCTGTGTGTGTAACGTGAAGGGAATGAGGGGCGTTGCTGAAGGTTTATCTGAGTTTAAGATCTGTTGGCCAAAAAGAAAAGAAAATCTAAGCCTAAGATTTAAAGCCACGTCTATGAATGAATTACCCTTATCGTTGATGTTAAAGTTTGTGGATGAATTACCTTTATCCCCGCATTTAATAGCATTTGTCTTTTGCGCAGTGACGGCATCATATTTTACCTATGACTGATACCAGACATTCAGAGGTCTCGTTATTACGTACGCGAAAGCAGGAAACACGTTTTTTGGCCGTCTCATGGATTTTATACGTTCTTTTAAATTCAGACCATGTGTTCCTTTTTTTTTTTTTTTTGGGTTCAATACCATATGTTCAGATTTCATAAAAGAAGGAAAAATTGATAGAAAAGACCTAATTAAAAATAAAATTATGCTCAGGGATCAAAATAGATTGAAGAACCAAGTTTATTATTTTAATATTAAAAAAGAATTTAAAAATCTAAAATATCATTGCATTCCATGTGATATGCTTGAAAATAAGATTTTGGGTAAAAAGACCTAATTACCCTCGTAACACTTTACAAGTCTTGTTTCAATATAAACAAGAAAGCACACCACTATTAATGATTTACCATACGTAATTAATAGATGAACATTTATTTGTAAACAAGTTATAAAAAATTATAGGTCTGGTTTGTTGTTTATAACATAATGATAGCTTGTTAATAGAAGAATGATTTGTTGTTTATACCAAAACTGCAGAGTAAGACTTGTAAAATTAAATAAATTCTATCAATTTTTTAACTTATTTATAAATAATAGCTTGCTTGTTAATTATACATGATAACTTGTTAATAGTCAAAAATTTTATTATTTATATAGCAACGAGACTTATAAAATATTATAGGAATAATTAAACCGCTTCTTCCAAAGTTTTATTTTTAGATAGGTTTTCAAGGGCATGTAGCGACATTTTGAATTTTTAGAGCCATTCTTTACTATTGTTTTCCCCATGAATAATTGGAGAGCAGGGGACAAGAAACTAAGAAAGGGAGTCGGGGTGGCCGAGTGACGGGGGCGTTTTGTGTTGGGCCGGATATGGGGATGGACGTTAATGTCATGACTCATGAGGAGGAGGTGTTTCACGTGAAACAGTACGGATGGCCAGTCACTAGGCAACACGTGTTTTTGCACTCATTGTGGAGTCGTGGGTTGTCTCCTACTCGAATGTTTTTATTTTTGAATTGCAAGGAAAGCAACAACATACTGCTAGGATAATTCTAGCCGTAGTATAGTCTGGTCCCAAAAAAAAAAAAAAAAATTCACTAGTAATTCATTCGCCGCACCATTTCCACAACTCTTGGATGACACCGGCATTGTCGTCATCCCATTTGGTTAAATAAATAAATACTATCTTTTATTGATGTAGAGTGGATTGATGAAATTGGGGGTTGAAATAATTACACACTTGTTATTTCTACTTAACAATGATTAACATATATCATTCATCAATTATTTTTTCGTTGCATTTCTGTCTACACATGCAAAGTCGAGTTTTGATCCGAACAATGAACGCTCACCCATTTAGTTATCTTTTCATGTGATTTTCTGATCAAATTAAATTTAAATATTGTCAAGTCTACTTATAAATATAGTAAGACTTTATACACTTAACTTTATATATTTAATATACTTTTATCAAAACAAATGAATTAAAATATGATAATGATAGTAATGATAAGATTTATTATAAAATAAATAATTTATATATTTATTTAATTAAAAATACTTATATTAAATATATAGAGTTAAGCATGTACACTTTGCTCATAAATATACTCATATTGTAAAACAGAATTCTTTCTTGGGTTGGATCAAGACGAGATTAGTTTTATGACCGGAGAAAGTGTTGGGCTGATGTCACAAGCCCACAGGGGCATACGGTTTGTGGACCTTCTTCCCTGGTATGGTTTTCATTTTTTTTTTTTGGAATGCTATGCATATGTCATTTAAAAAAAGCAAAAGGACATGTCCAGAAGCGGGAAAATAAATGGAGAGAAGTCCAGAAGATTCCCCGAAACCCGAGCGGCTCGCTCATTGAGTCATTGACAGCTTCTATGTCACACGTGTACGCCAAGTCTCACGAAGTTTCTCTCTTACCCTCGCCCCTTTCTCCGCTTTTTAAATTTCCCTCTGCCTCCCGTCAAGAATCTCTTGCATCCAAGTTCCAAGCCTTAACTAGCCTCATCTCTGGCTCTAATCCCTGCCTTCCTTCCCCTTATTCCGTCGCCTCTCCCGCCATGTGGAACCAGCCTTACCGCAAATCTGACGCCGAGGCCGGACCTGGGCCTCTTTACCCTATGATGCTCGAAAGCCCCGAGCTCCGGTGGTCCTTTATCCGCAAAGTCTACTCCATCATAACCTTTCAGTTGCTCGCCACCGTTGCCGTTGCTTCCGTCGTCGTCTTCGTTCATCCCATTGCCCACTTCTTCGTCAGTTCTGGCGCTGGCTTGGCCCTCTTCATCGTCCTCATCATCATCCCTTTTATCGGTACGCCTCTGTTATTCCTCACTTTCGAGCTCTCTCTTTTCTCCTATTATTATTGCATGCTTTGATTTTTTTTTTTCCCTTACGGCTTTCAAACATTTCAGTGTTATGCCCTCTGTACTACTACCACCAGAAGCACCCGCTGAATTACCTGCTTCTGGGGCTCTTCACAATCTCCCTAGCTTTCGCTGTTGGGCTCACCTGTGCGTTCACTATCGGTAAGATTGATTTTTCTTTTTCGTTCTCTATTTTTTTTGGGCCAATAGCGATAGGAATAAACTGTTCCTGCTTTTCTTTCTTTTTCTGCACTGATTGGGCAAAAGCCTGATGAAGTCTCCTTGATTAATAAGCTGTTTTTGTTTGGTGTGGGCGGGCTGGTATTCTTTCATCTCCATCACCATGCATGCATTCCTAAAAACTTTAGGAATAAAATGTTGGTCCCACCTTGCACCTGTGGGTCCTGTATGGTTCCATTGAGTGGAGGTCCTCCTTCTGCTTCGTTTGAGTGGAAACAATTTTAATTTTTAAACACACCACTCACCCATGCGGGCTCTAGCCCGCAACCTCTCTCCACGAGGGAGAATTTGATGCCATTTTGGCCACTTGCCACTGGCTCTCTTCGTTATTCTCTAATTACGTCGTAGTTCATGAATACTTCAGAGAATTCTCTGATTCAGTAGTCTGCCTAACGTCAGTTGTTATCAGGTTTTTTTAATGTTGTGGACCGATTATACTCTCTCCTTTCTTTCTTACAACACCATTTCATTGAAAATACAAAGCACAATTGATATATGCAATCTTTGGCTATAAGGTTTGATTGGGCAACGGGAAGTAGATTGCTAGGGAAATTCAATTCGGGATATGAACGGCGGGAAACGGGGTAGCGTATTATTTTTAATTGCTGAGCGTCAAGGCTGACATGTGGGAATTGCCTTATTTCCTCATGGCTCTAAAGTTTTGTGATAAATGGTATCAGGGAAAGTGATACTGGAATCTGTGATATTGACAAGCGTGGTGGTGGTCAGTTTGACTCTCTACACATTTTGGGCCGCCAGAAGAGGTCATGACTTCAATTTTCTTGGCCCCTTCTTGTTCGGTGCTGTGTTAGTTCTCATGGTTTTTGCTCTGATTCAGGTATGGTTATTTTCAAACATTTCTGGTTGATATTTGTCAGCCTTCGTGAATTGTCTTCGGAAGCGCAGTTTCTAAGTGGATCTGATTTCTTTCTTGCAGATTCTATTCCCGCTGGGTAAGATATCAGTGATGGTCTATGGATGCCTAGCATCAATTATATTTTGTGGTTACATCATATATGATACAGACAACCTTATCAAAAGGTTCACCTATGATGAGTACATTTGGGCTGCTGTCTCGTTGTATCTGGACATCATCAATCTCTTCTTGGCTCTGCTTACCATATTTAGAGTATCTGAGAGTTGACGATGACATCGCTGGTTGTTGCATGTGTCTGAATGACAGGATAAAGAATTTGTTGTCCACCAATGAGTCGACCTGCAAATACTATGTGTAGCTGAAAGCCTGCCTTGAATTGTAAATGCACATACGATGTGATTATGTCCCCATTCTTTCGGGTTTTGTTCTAATTTCAGTGCTTTTATGACTATTATTACTAGCAAATAGATCGCAATTATTAATCGTATTAGTTTCGCTACTTGAACAAACAACCATACGACTTTATTTTGCATCCCATTCATAATAAACTAATGAATGTGTGATTAGCTAAAGATGTTTGTTCGAGATTTCGATGTTAATGTTTTGTATTTTATTGATATTCTTGTAGGATATACAAGGCTAGTGGACAAAGTGTTTTGTTTCTTCTTTTTCAAGGTTATGGCCGTAGTCTTCTCTCTTTTGTCTGGGCAATAGAACAGACATTGAGACATACAATGATACAAAGCTAAAGGAAGTCGTGAATTTGGGGTGCTGCCTTGGGGGCAAAAAAAAAAAAAAAAAAAGAACTCTCGATCGTAATTTCAAGTTTTATAATTTTATATGATTTTAAATACTAGTAGTTTATTTTTTCTTTCAATATTGCCCTTTATTAATTATTAATTATACCAAATTGTAATTGCCAGACAAATTTTACTGTATTCATCAATTTTAATGGAGAGTAAAATTAGAAAGTCAAACTTTTTTAATAAATTTCAGAATATTAATTATAATTATAATTTTTGAAAATTCGTGAAGTTGGTTAATTTTGTCTTGTCATTAGCACTATAGGGGGTGGATGATGAAGCATCTACTTTATATTCCTTGTACCCTGATTTTTTAAAATATATTCCATCCGTTCTTTTATATTAAGTGTTTCTAATTGAATTAATAAAAAATTATTATTTAGTTAAAATTACATTAAATTATAATAATTTTTTTAATTTTGTTTCTAATTATGTCAGTTAATATATGGTAGTGGGAAGTAAAAGTATACAATTAATATATATTTTTCATTTTCAAAATGAAGATAAAATTATATAATTATTTAAAAAATATGACAT